TTGGTTTTCAAGGAAAACCCAGACGGAGCTCATTATTATGCAATGCAATTTGATCAAGCTGTTGAAAACGTTGTTGTTGGCATTTTAAGTTATGCATATTTAAATTGAATTCAGCTTTTTGGTTAGTTTTCGATATTCAATTGAAGTGCCACGCCCCACTCTCCCGTTATATTGCCAGACATGACACGTGAAGGTCGAACCTTTGACATTTTTTTTTTTTTCTTTCTTTCGATTTTTAGATTTCCGTTAAGATGCCTTTGCTCTGCACGCTCCTGTGACGAAGCTTAGCATCTTCTGAGGATTGCAAATTATTCCGGATCTGGTACCATTTTTCATGTCAAAATTATTTAATTATTGGTGAAGCAGAAAAAAATGCAGACAGGAATGTTCAAAGTAATCAGACTAACGTCTAACAGATACCTCGCACTCACAGAAATATATAAAATATATTAATTGTGCGCAATTTCGAATTCGAATTTCATCAGAAATGTAGCTGACATCAGCAGATTTCCGTTATTGTTGATGATTGATGTTCAATTAGACGTGAACATAAATTAGGTACACATTGATAATGCCAGGCTCTATTTTTCAATTATATTTCTATACACATTCTGGTAAAGAAACAGGGTAGCATATAAAGCGCCCACATTGAATGTGTAAGCGTAAATGTATCCCGATTTGATGCTCCTTCTATTTTTCTGCTCTGGGCTGTTGTGTAAAGGTCGTGTTTATGGCATGTATTAATTTTCCGTCAATCCGGCATAGGGAAAACGGGCGGGCGGCCGGCAGCTGTTATCGCTATCCTAAAATTTCGATCTCGTCTCCTCCATCATCAGCGCCAGCCAGGGGCCACACGCAAATCTGAAGAAGGCCGTTAAGTGGGCTTAATTGTTATGACTACAGTTGTGAGTGATGCTTAATTCGCAACCGGAATAGTAAACATTATTGCTTTTTTCAATTAAGTCTCTAAGTACATCGCCCTCGGTTGTGCCTTTCAAAAACATGTTGCCTTTCCGGGAAGCACTTTAAATATATTCGATTTCAAAGATGGAAAGGGATTTATCCTTTCTTTTTACTTCGTTTCATTTCGTACATTCGCAATACTTTTATTGCGTTGTAATAAATGGCCACAATATTTGCAATTAACAAACAAAGAAGCCAATAAATTTTTTTTTCCAGCAATTTTTGTTGTGCAGCAACTTCGCTACTCTTTGAGAAATACTTTTCATTTGACAAGGGCAAATCTCAATTTAATTTATGGAGTGCAATTTTAAAATATTTACGACATGTTAATCCAACAGAAGCACGAATAAAATGTCAAAAGATTCTGAAAAATATTACAATCAGTGCATTTAAAATATATGAAAACTCTGTCATGCATGTGGGAAATACATATATGCAAACAATTTCATATACCTCTTGCGCTCATATATATTAAAATGCATTTAAGTGTAAAAATATCATATTAAAACCTCTACTGACAAGCATTTTTTAATAACTTTGATGTTTATTTTTCTATCGTTGAGCGTTGGAACATCAGTAATGAAAGGCCAGTTGTGCAAATTTAATATCTCTTTTTTTTCTTTAGATTAGTAAGTTTATTGATGAAATACTTGGACTGTATAGAAGCCAGTTGGCCAGAATAGAGCATACAAACTTTAATCAGTAACAAAAAGGGCCAGTATTGCATATTTATCTTCTTTCCTTAAATTTTGGAAAAAACAAAAATGTGGTCAATTTATGATTGAGAAGTTTATTGATGAAATATTTGGACTTTATTCAAGGCAATATCTTTCAAACTTTGGCCAGAACTGAGCAAATAAACTGGATCGACTAGTAATTAAATTGGTTATTAAAAAGGCCAATTGTGTAAATGTATCTCCTTTTCTTACATTTTGGAATAAACGGAAGTGTGCTCAGTTCATGATTGAGAAGTTTATTGATGAAATACTTGGACTTTATTCAAAGCAATTTATTTCAAGTTTTGGTCAGAATAGAGCAAATAAACTAAAATCAGTAACAAAAAAGACCAGTAGTGTATATTTATCTCCTTTTCTTAAATTTTGGAAAAAACCAAAATGTGGTCAATTCATGATTGAGAAGTTTATTGATGAAATACTTGAACTTTATTCAAGGCAATATATTTCAAACTTTGGCCAGAACGGAGAAAATAAACTGGATCGACTAGTAATTAAATCAGTAACGGAAGGGGCCAGTTGCGTAAACTAACTTCTGCGAAATACGGGAATGTGTTTAATTTATGATTGAGAAGCTTATTGAGGAAATAGTTGGACTGTATTCAAGGCAATATTTGATACATTTTGGCTAGAAAGTGGAGCGATTATGAAATGGATATACTAGTACTTAAATCATCAAGTCTGTAAAAAACAAGTTGCATAATTCGCCCTCTTTTTGTTTCATTTTGGAAAATACGGCAATGTTTTCAAAGTTTTTTGGTGAATTAGTGGGACTTTATATGAGGCAATATCTTTGACATTTTTGCTAGAAAATATACTGGAACTATTAATACTTAAATTGTGAATCGCTTCATCGAAGAGGCACGGCCAAATTGACTGTGTACCAAGCAAACTCTGGCTATGCAGTGTTGCCACCTTTTCTAATGGTTTTTACGAACTTCACAAAATAAAAAAGTGTCAAGAAACCAGGAAAAGTAAGTTCAAGCGACACGCTAAACTTTTTAAACATGAATATTAAATAAGTTCACCAAAGGCGATTACCGCTTAGCAGTAATAATGTATAATATCGATGCTTTTTATATTATGTATCTTGCTATATATGTATATGTACTCGTATATATATACACTAGCGGGTATAACCCGGCCTTGCTCGTGGCACGTATGTTATAAAATCAATGTTTTCAAAAAGCTTTGAAAATGATTTTGAAACTGATCGGACGGGAATCAACCAACTTTTATGCAAATCGGACAAAACTTAAAATTCACCAAAAAAATCTTTGAAATGCATTTTCCACCGAAGGGATTTAGATTTTGCGGCAAATGTGAAATGTGATTTTTCAAAAAGTGTGAAACACCCCTCAAATTAATTTGAACATAGATCTTTGAAAATGAGTTTGGGGCCGATCGGATGGTAAACAAAAAACTTTCATACAACCGTTTTCCGACAATTTACCACTGTTGCGGGTGGAATTTCCCAATTCGATGAAATACGTATTCATTAAGTTCTTATGGAGAGCTTTGAAAATAAGCTTAAAGCAAATCGGACACAACTTAAAACTTCGCACAAAATATCTTTGAGTCGCATTCCACCCGACAAAGTTTGGATTCTGCGAAAAGTATGAAACACGTCTCAAATGATTTTTCTTATAGATCTCTGGAAACGAATTTGAGAGCGAAACGTCACCCACCAAATCTTTGACCTCCATTTCCACCAAGGAGGAATGGATTTTCATAAAAGTGTGAAACACGCCTCAAATGAATTTGAACAAAGATCTTTGAAAATACGTTTGGGGCCGATCGGATGGTAAACAAAAAACATTCATGCAACCGTTTTCCGACAATTTCCCACTGTTGCGTGTGGAATTTCCCAAATCGCTGAAATACGTATCTATTAAGTTCTTATGTAGACCTTTGAAAATAAGTTTGAAGCAAATCGGACACAACTTAAAACTTCCCCCAAAAAATCTTTAAATCGCATTCCCCCCGAAGAAGTTAGAATTCTGCGAAAAGTGTGAAACACGTCTCAAATGATTTTTCTTATAGATGTCTGGAAATGAATTTGAGAGCGAAACGTCACCCACCAAATCTTTGACCTCCATTTCCACCAAGGAGGAATGGATTTTCCTAAAAGTGTGAAACACGCCTCAAATGAATTTGAACAAAGATCTTCGAAAATAAGTTTGAGGCCGATGGGATGGTCAACAAAAAAGTTACATACAAACGTTTTTTGCGATTTTTCCACACTTGCGGGTGGAATTTCCCGAAACCCCGTCTTAACGTGCACCTACATCACATAAGGTAACTACAGTGAAAATTTCAGCTTCCTAGCTCTTACGGTTAGGGCTGTGCGTTGATCACCAATCAGTCAGTCAGTCAGTCAGTCAGTCAGTCAGTCAGTCAGTCAGGACAAACAGTTTTATATATAGATATATATATATATATGTATTAAGTGTATATATTATATAGAGATATATATTATAATTCGTTGACCAGAATTTGGCTGCTTGCCACATGCGACAATTTGGCAACGGGAAAAAAGTTTTCCTTTGCCGCATGACCTTGACTGCAGTGAATGCAACTGTCGGCCATTTCGGTCACGCACACAAATACATATGCACACACATAATACATACACACACACGCACACCCGTAAAAAAGTTGTTTGGCAAAAGTTTTGAGTTGTTTTTACGTTCGATGCGAAAATGCGAGTCAATTAATTACAGGCCAGCGAGAATAAAAGTATACCAAGTCTCTAGCTCACTCTCTGTCTCTGTCTTCCTCTCTCGCCCTCTCTCTTTCAATCCCTCTGTACGTGTTTGGCAGGTTACTTTCTGAGGCATTCAATTCGTGGCAGCTAGCTGTAAATAGAGCGCCGCCACGGACATTGGGGCAATATTTTAGGGATGCCACACAAAAACCTCAAATAAAAATGTTTGGTTTTTATGCCGGGGCAATTGGAGACATCAGCCAAAGACATGTGCCACAGATGAGCTGAAGCTCTCCGTCAGTCTGTGTCTGTGTGTGTGTGTGTGTGTATGTATGTGTATGTATGTGTATGTGTTTGTGTGATTGCATAAATAAGAGGGATAAATGAAAGGCTAATGAGGTCAAGCGGGCAGCGGCAATGGAATGTTTTATATTCGACACATTCACTTTTGCCCCCAGTCGAGAGCCACTTATCTCAATTGTTGGTCTGTATGTGTGGCTGTATGTCGGTGGGTGTAAGTGTGTGATGACTCTTGATAAGAATCGAGCTATGTTAGTTGTGTGTGTGTGTGTTGGTTGGGGGGAGAGCACACTTACCATAAACAGTCTGACCAACAATTAGCAGCATTAGCAGCCAGCAACTAGGCTGGGGCATAATTCCACATAACCATCTGCCGATGCTCCTCATTTTGTGCTGCGTCTGCTGGCGACAGTCCAGTTGTTGTCTTTGTGCTATCAGCAGCTACTGGTCCACTGCTTCACAGAGCCGCAAAACCCACAATGCTACTGTAGGTCAGACACCACCTGCAGCTCTCCGGGCCTGGGCCTTGCTAAGCGCGCTCGCCTTCCAGCTCCAGCCGTATCTGTAATGGGAAGTTTTTATGAGATAAGTTACCATACGTTAAAAAAACATTTTCTACATTTAGAATTTAAGTTTTATAAATGTATGTTTAAAATGACAATTGGCTTTAGTGAGCTCTTTATTTAAAATAGTTGGATGAACTCTCTTTTTGCTCGCTTTGCCGTTTTTTCGTTGCAATTCCCAACAACTTCAAGCTTCGACCAGCTTAATAAGTATAAGTGTGTATTCATAATAATTTGTTTTTTGAGTACTTTAACATTAGCTGGGTGCTGTTCAGGAATAGCTAGGCGCTATTAAACAATATATTTTCATGTCGGCAGTATATTGCCTGACAATTGGTTGAGCTTATTGCACGGCCAACTTGTTCGCCTTGGCCGCAGTTATCCAAATGGATTGTGCGCCTGCTTGTCTGGGACTATGGAAATTTTGCGAGTACTTAACGCCACGAGCCGCCTGCTAGGACAAGTGAAGCGCAAAAAATGCGAAAAACACAACCACACCACAGCTCCTCCTCCTCCATGAACCAAAAAAACGCACAGTCGAGGCGTGTAATCAAAGTGTCTGATATCAAAGCAACAAAAGCGACGACGAGGACGACAAAGTTATGCATAAATTTTGGACGCCAACTTGACTGAGCGTAAAATCAATACAGGAAATAAATTAGTTTCGGCTCAAAAGCCAAAAGGCCAAACGAAAAACAAAACAAAATGTAGGCGTGTTGTACTCAAATTCCGATTCGTGTGCGGTTGCGAATTCAGATTCGGGCACACGGCTACGGATTCGCAAAAGCCGACAAAAAAAAACAAGTACCAAAGGGCGCTGGTTATCTACTGACCCTGGTGGCATCAAGTGAATGACAATGTGTTGTTATTTTTGCTGTTGCTGCTGCTGCTGCTACTACACTGCGGTCGCCCGACCATTGTTTTTCCAGCCTGTACGCCCCTGGGGGCTTACTGCTAGAATGGGGAAGGCGGCTCTAGAGCCTAATAATAGCCGCGCATAAAATTTTATTAGCCTGAGCGTAACAATTCAATTGGGTCATGCTTTATGGCGCCACTAGCCGCATTTTAAAACCAGCCATCGATGTGGGTCGAACTGCAAACGGCAGGTGTCGCGTCCACCTGTCACCAAATAACAAGGAACAGCCTTAAGAAAAAACGAAAGTAAATTAACCCTGTGTAGTCACAATTGAACTCTATATTAAACTTAAATTCAATTTAAACTTCAATTCAGTTAGTAGCTAAACGACAATTGGACATAAATTGCATTCAAATGTTTATATGCAACTTTCAATGCACAGAGCTTCGATTGTCTATATATACTATATATATATATATATATATATATATTGGATAATGTATGCGATTTAGTATGCTCAGCAGCGTTTCAAATAGCCTCGTTTCCCTTAAAAATAACAGTCAGCATCTCCTTTCTATATAATTCTCATCAATATGTTAATATATTTTCATAACTATATACTACTTTAAAATTCAGCATCGCCTTTCTATGCAGTTCTCAACAAGATGCTGATATTATTTCCGTAGCTGTGTATTTATAAATTCAAATTCAGCATCGCCCTTCTATGCAATTTTCATTAAACTGATTTTATTTTTATAAATATGTATATATTCCGTTAAATGGCGCATTGCCTTTCTATGCAATTCTCATCCTTTTATATTTCCCTATTTGCTTTAATCGCACGCTTTCCTTTGACCAACTGACTAAAAAGTTGGCTGGTCGCCTTTTGGGCCAATTATTGCTCGAATAATTCTCCCCTATGAACTATTGCTTAGCTAGTGCGAATGTGTCAAACTTTCCAACCGTTTCCTTTGTCATCAATATGCAAATATTTATGCAGATATGTAGAGCTATGAATCTGGCATAAGCTATGCTTATGTTTTTCCATATGTTTATCTCTTACTCACCCCAACCCCTGCTTAAGCGAGCACAAATGTCTTGTTCTTTATAGCGCAGGCGACACCGCATCTGCCATAAAGTGTCATAAAGTGCATTAGAGCGCACTTGGCACAACGCACGCACACACACAGCCACACACACTAAACAAGAAAAGAAAAAGCCGGAAATCAGCATGTGAAACAAAAGCAATGCAGAGGCCGCCCTTGAAGCTTGAAAAGAAACGTTTGTGCATAAATATTCATGCGCCCACGCCCACAAGAGCCAACAACAACAGCACCTACAAAATCCATCAGACCCAGCACCGTTGCCACCGGGGCAACGGCAACCGGCAACGGTGCAAAGGCGCCGCTGATTCCGCATACTTTATGCCATTTCTGATTGTTTATTATTGCGACACAGCGAAAACACAGAACAGACGGTGTGTGGAATGGGCGGCATATGGAAAGAGTTCCAGCTGCCAAAGCAAAAGCATTTAAATGCCTTGGAACATTTATTGGCGTGTTTTACGCGCCATAAACTGAAATTCATAAACATTTTATGCACTACATGTGTAAATGTGTCTCCTCTGTCTACCTCGGCATCCCTGTCTCTGTCCGTGCCCCGCGTCCACTCGCTGCAAACTGCAGCTGCATACATGAGCAATGCTCTCCGGACCAACAGGGGCATATTTTTAGCAGTTAGCCAATGCGAACCCAAAGAGCAAAACAAACAGAGAGTTTAACTTCGACTTCTGATTACTCTTGTGAAAAAGATTTGTATGAAACTTTTTTGCCACCAACCGATTGTATTTAAAATCTTTTTCAAAGATCTTTGTTTCAATTCATTTGAGGGGTGTTTCCCACCTTTCGCAAAATCCATTCAACAAGAGTGAAAAATGCGGGTCAAAGGAGGGAGATGATAGTTTATTATATTTAATTTGTTTATTTGTTTAATGCAACATTTAAGCTTTTCCTATTGGATATATTTGATTTTCAGATGTTAAGATATACTGTATATAAAACCTACAATTTATTCAAATTTTTATTAATTATACATAAAGTAAAATATTTTACTTACTCACAATCTTAGTAAATAACATATGTTCGGTTCGGTTCGATCTACACACTTGCAGCAATGGGTACCCCCCAAAAAAAGGTAGCATACTTATGGGCGCAATGCTGCAGGCATTGCGAAAATGCGACATAAAAATTCATTTTATAGCTTGCGTTTTTATTGCCAGCAGGCTTTGTTTCCGCTGCTGATGCCACCAGCCGCAGGCACTCGGTAATTGTTCCAAGCGTTGCCGCTGCTGCCTGCTTCTTGCTGCCGTTTTGCAGGTTTCGCACAAAACGTTGCGCATACGCCACGCGGGCCTCATGCATATGCAAAGGCACTCGTGATCCGCTAACAGTAAGTGGCTTTCGCGTGTGTGCGTCGCAATGATAAGCGCATTTTAAGCTTGACTGGCTTCGACTGGCATTGCCGTTGGCCCTTGACATTGGCATTGTCTCCTGCCAATCGCCATCTGCCATTTGGTTATTCGATATCACTTTTGCAGTCAATTTTGTTCCAAAAGGCGCGATAATTGCCCTGAAGAGTTTCAATAAGGTCAAAAGGGCATACTACATGTATAAATATTTTGTAGTACATTCATATATATATACATATATATATATATGTACATATGTATTAATATTTATGCACCTGCCACACACTCAATTGAAATTACGCTTTCGTTTTTTGGGCTCCACTTTTGTGCCATTTCATTGAGCACCGACCATGAAAATTGTTTTCATTTCCAATTATTATTTTTATGTGCATTCATTGTCTTTGGCCTTTGGCCTGTGCCTGATGCCCACGCATGGTTTTATATCCCAATGCTGAATCAGCAGAAAATCACAAGTGCCCTTCAATGTACTTGATTAATTTGATCAAGTTCTCCAGACAAGGGGCTAGAAACTCACTCGCCAACTGCCAACGCTGCCACCGCCCCCAACTTCAAGCATAATCTTGACTTCATCGCTATCCCAATTACCTTCCTTAGCATTAAGAACACAGTCCTATCTTTGGCAGCCTTCCTCTCTTTTCACTTTTGCCATCTCTACCCATTATAGCTGCCTTCGCAGTCGCATGACTTCATGCCGCTTACGTGTCGCATCATGTGGGCTGAATAGAATTGAAACAAATTTGAACATGGCCCTGGCCATTGCGAATGCCGCAACCTTCTCCCTATTCTCTCGCATCTACATAACAGCAACAACAACAAGTCAAATCAGAACATCAGTTGGTGGCAGCGATGAACAAGCTAGCGGGCGAAAGCCTTTACAGTGGCAAAAAAAAATACTGAAATTGTTGAAGATGTATATGATTTCTATTCCCATTTAATCATATTAAAGCTAAGTTCGCCAAGTGCTGTCACATTTTGTTTAGCTAGTTTAGCTCTGAGGTAAAAAAAAAGAGCGTGTGGCATATCGGCTAATCCGCAGCTCCATGTTCCACTGTGCGTTTGTAAGGCGTTGAAATTAGCTCCTACTCCGAACTGTGGCCTGCGTCGACGTCGACGGCGACGTTGCCGCCTGTTCAAGTGGCGCTAGATAAATGCTGAATTCGTGTCTGGCAGGCGCCCAACATTATTCGTTGGGTGGTTTTGTATCCATGGGTGGTTTTTGGCACCGCCCTCTCTCCGTTGTCGAGTTGGTAACACGCTTTACTGCACATTAAGACTTGTTTACGAATTTGCTTGTAACATGAAATTAATTTGTAAATTTAAAGGTTGCCAATGGGGCGCCATCAAGCAGTCTCCATTTCCATCTTGCGACTGGCAGCTGCCTCAGTGGGACACATGATGGTCCCATCAAACCACATGCACGAAATTTTAATTATTTGTCTTGCTTTGACATCGTCGCGACCAGGGCAACACAGCCAGGGAAACTAACCAACCAATTATCCGCTGGCAGTTTCTGGCGAGGAGCTGTTGACAAGCTGAAGCAGCGTTGCGGTTTGGCATTCCATAAAATTGCGTGTGCAGTTTTGATTAATCTATTTAATATAGTTGCAGTTCTGTTCTGAGCCAGAACAATATTTTGTTCTATTTTAAAGGCGAAA